GGTTAATAAAATTATATAGGTTTAAAGTGTACAATTCTGTAATACATCATCTGTATATTCCTTTGTGTGTTCACCACCCAAAGTCAAATCTCCTTCCATCACCATATATTTGACTAACTTTACAACCTCTCCCCCACCCCCTTTCCCTCTGTTAACCATTATACTGTTATTTGTGCTTATGCATTTTTGTTTGCCTTATTTGTTCACTTGTTGATTTCAATTTTATATCTCACATATGATATGAGTAAAATTGTGGTTCTTGCTTTTTTTTTTTGATTCTTTAGCATGATATTCTCAAGATCTATCCATGTTGTCATAAATGGCAGTATTTCATATTTTCTTCTGAGTAGAGTAGTATTCCATTGTCTTCTTTACCCAATAATCTAGTAAAAGACACTTTGTTTCCACATCTTGGCCACCATGAATAATGCTGCAATGAACATAGGGGTACACACATATTTATGAATAAACTAGAGGCCCGCTACCACCCATCCCTGGTTCCTTGTTCCCCATTGGGCAATCAGAGCCTGCCCGCCAGGGGGAGGGACCGAGAGGTGGGCTGGCAGGTCCTGATCAGGAAATTGGGGCCTGTGGGTTGGGGATAGCTCCTGCATTGAGTGTCTGCCCCCTGGTGGTCAGTGCATGTAATAGCAACCAGTTATTCCACCATTCGGTCAATTTCCATATTACCCTTTTATTATATAGGATGTTTTCAAATGAATGGGAATATATAAAATTAACAGGCTTCTGCATACCCAAAGAAACCATTAGGGAAACAAAAAGGCAACCAACTGAATGGGAAAAGATATTTGCAAACAACACTTCTAATAAGGGCTTAATAATCAAAATATATAAAATCTCATATACTCAACAATTCTAAAACAAACAATCCAATTTAAAAATGGACAGAGGACCTGAATAGACACATCTCCCAGGAAGACATACAAATGGTCAACAGATGCATGGAAAATTATCAACTTCATTAGCTATTAGGAAAATAGAAATAAAAACTACACTGAGATGCCACCTCATACCTGCTAGAATGACTATTATCAACAAAACAAGTGCTAACAAGTGTTGGAAGGGTTGTAGAAAAAAAAAGCTACTCTCATTTAGTGTTGGTGGGAATGTAAACTGGTACATCCACTATGCAAAAGAGTATGAGGCTCCTCCAAAAATTAAGATTAGAGTTACCATTTGGCCCAGTAATCCAGCTACTAGGATCCTTTTTAAAAAGCTCTTATCCAGGCTAAACTTGCACCAATATTCTAGGTTTCACTTCCTCCTCATTTCTTTGGATTGTTACTCAATCATCCTCTATCCTCTATCTTCAACCTCACTACTAGCTCTTGCTCATCCTATATAATAAAAAGCTAATATACAAATAGTCATCATGCCCTTGCACCCTCACACCCTCATGCCCTCGTGCCCTTGCTCCCTTGCACTCTTGCACCAGGGCCGGGGGACCTGAGGCCACACTCCTGCCCCTGCGCTGGAGCCAGGGACCTGAGGCCTGGCCAGAAGACCTGAGGCCATGCTCCCCACCTGGCAGGTTTTGACTAGGGACCTTAGGCTGTGCCCCCCACCCAGCAGGGCTTGACAGGGGACCTGAGGCCATGCCCCCTACCTGGAAGGGCTTGACAGGGGACCTGAGGCTGTGCCCCCCACTTGGCGCCAGGCCTTGGGACCTGAGGCTGCGCCCTCCCGCCCTGCGCGTCTTGATGGAGGTGAGGCTGGCCGGGTCTGGGTCTCGTGCAATTTCGAGGAGCATGTGGATGAGCAGGGACTTGACTCTGGGTCCCATGGAGTGCCCCAGACTCTGATAGGAGGGAGATTTTCATATACATTTTATTAATTTTCTTTCATCTCTAACACTTGTATTATAGAAAAGGGCAAATAGCAATATTAAAATATTTCCTCTAATTAATTCCCTTTTAATGTGCACAAATTTTGTGCACCAGACCACTAGTTATCATATAAACAGAGATTTGCAAAAATCTCCGTGTACTACTTGATGTTCTCCAGCTAATGTCCTGTTTATATAACCTTTCTAAGTTAGACTTCTTCAGAATTTTCTATACTTGCTGACTCCATTTCTTCCCTTCCTCTGTAGTCTTCAGCTTGCTGCAGTCTGTCTACTATGCACATTATTTTACCAAGAAATGCTTGTATTAAGATAATCAATGACATACATGTTGATAAATCCAGAGATTCCTTTTAGACCTTACTCTACCTGATACATCTATAGCTTTAAACACAGTTCTTTAAATTCTTTTTTGAAACTCCTAAATTTGAAGTTCTTGAGACATATGTACTAAGCCATCTTTTAGTTCTCACTTTACAATTCCTTTCTAGGTTATCTCATAAATGCTAATGCATTTCATTTACCAGCTAAATACTAATGACTTCTGAATTTGCCTACCTGCTCTCTAGACTCCTCTCTTAGAATTCTTGGCTTCTATATCCAACTGCTGATTGGCTCTCTCCAATTGGATGCTTCATTCAGCTACCCTATGTCTTTTGATTGGAGCATTTAATACATTTAAATTTAGGGTTATTATTGATAGGTACTTGTGGGGTTTTTTGCCATTTTAATTCTGATGACTAGGTTTCTCTGTTTATTCTAATTACAGCAGTCCCTTTAGCATTTCTTCTAATGTTGGCTTGGTGGTGATGTACTCGTTTAGCCTTCTCTTTTTTGCCTGGGAAGCTCTTTATTTGACCATCTATTTTGAATGATAGCCTTGCTGGATATAGTAATCTTGGTCCCAGATCCTTGCTTTCCATTATCTTGAGTACTTCATGCCATTCCCTTCTGGCCTGTAGAGTTTCTGATGAGAAATCAGGTGTCAGCCTTATGGGGATTCCTTTGTAGGTAACAGTTTTCTTTTCTCTTGCTGCCTTTAAGATTCTCTCTTTGTCTTTAATTTTTGGCATTTTAATTATGATGTGCCTGGGCATGGGCCTGTTTGGGTTTTTCTTGCTTGGGGTTCTCTGTGCCTCCTGAACTTGTGTGACTTTTTCCTTACCAGTTTAGGGAAGTTTTCTGTCATTTCTTCAAACACCTTCTCTATGCCTTTCTCCCTTTCTGCCTCTTCTGGCACACCTGCTATTCTAATATTGTTATGTTTCACATTGTCCCACAGCTCCCTTAAGCTGTCCTCCTATTTTTTAATTGTCTGTTTTTTTCTTTTTGGTTTTCTGATTGAGTGATATTTTCAACTCTATCTTCTAATTCACTGCTTCGATCCTCAGATTCCCCTAATCTGCTGTGTATTCCTTCCAATGTGTTCATGATCTGTGTTATTTCATTTTTTATCTCAGACTGTTCTTTTTTCATAGTTACTATATCTTTTTTCATGCTGTTGAGCAACTTTATCATCATTACTCTGAACTCTGTTTCAGATAAATTTCTTATCTCTGCTTCATTTACCTCTTCTTCTGGAAAATTCTCTAGTTCTTTCATTTGGGGAATGTTTTTTTGTCTCCTCATTTTGACTTCCTGTTTGGTTTTGTGATTATGTATTAGGTAGATCCTCTACACCTTTCAATCTCTAGTGCTAGACACTATTTAAGGCTGTTTCTGACTAATAAGATCAAGCAAAGACTCAAAGCCTCCAGAGACCGCCTCTGCCTCCAGACTGATAGGATTTTTACTTGAATTGCTCCCCAGGCAATTGTCCTCAGGTGTGATGAGAGGTGTTTTTTTTTTCCAACAGGGTGGATCAGTTGCTTTTGCCTGGAGGCTAATTGTTACTTTTAATCTCTCTCTCTTTTTTTTTAAATATATTTTATTGATTTTTTAAAGAAAGGAAGGGAGAGAGAGATAGTCAGAAACATCGATGAGCGAGAAACATCGATCAGCTGCCTCCTGCACATCTCCTACTGGGGATATGCCCGCAACCCAGGTACATGCCCTTGACCGGAATCGAACCTGGGACCTTTCAGTCCACAAGCCGACACTCTATCCACTGAGCCAAACTGGTTTCTGCTACTTTTAATCTCTTAAGTGGCCTCAGGGCAAGATGTTTTCCAATAGGGTGTGTCAACTATCTTTCCCCCAGACAAGGCAAAGATGTGGGAAAGATGTCCTCCACTGCCTGAGGGAATGATTCAGCCCAGGAAACTTGGGGTGTCTGCCTTCTGAGTTCTACCTTCCGAGTCCCCTGTCCTGGCTTCTGCTTTCACAGCTCTAGTCCACTTCACCTTCCCTCTGCCGGAGCACAAGGTGGGCTGGATCCACAGGGAATTTTGTGTATTGGTCTTTAAGAGGGTGCTTGAATTTTCAGCTGTTACTCCCTGGCAAACAGCACCCCACTGCTTTTCACAGCCAGATGCTATGTGGGTACCTTTCTCAGTTTTGGTGCTCTCTGCTGGGGGGCTCAGCTTGGGGATTAGATCCCAGAGTTCTCAGTGGCAACCCACCACAGCTGAGATATCTCTCTGGGACTTCAGTTGCTGTCTGTGGGTGCCCAGCCAGCTCTTTCGCAACTCCGCCCCTCCTACTAGTCTCTATGTGGTCTCCACTTTCAGTCCTTGGGTATCAGGGTTTTTTCCTGCGAGTTTTCCAGGAAGATTTTCTGTATTTTAGTTGTAATTACAGTTTGTTCCTGGGAGCATGTCCGTGCAGCATCCACTTACTCTTCTGCCATTTTTAATCCCTTTTGGATGCTTCAAATATGCTTCTACTTTATTATGTTCAGTACTCAAGTCTGTTTTTCCTTTAAACTGAGTACTTCACTAGACTTGCACATTTTAGTATATGACACCTCTGTCTGGTTACTAAAGACAGGAACAGGTGTTATCCTAGACTTTTTTATCTTCCTCATATACCATATATACTCTACCAGCAAATCTTTTCCATTCTAATGGAAAACTGTGTCTTAAAATTATCCACTTTCCTCACTTTTATTTCTTTGTCTGTAATAAAAGCCACTATTTTCTCTCACTTGGTCAGCTATAATATTTTCTTAACTGGTTCCCTGCTTCCATTGTTAGACCATGAAGACCATTATCCATACTGTAGCAGCAGAACAATTTTTTCTCAAAACTGATCATTGTTGGAAACGCCTCATAGAATAAATATGTTGTTTCCTTTATTCACAGAACTGTGTGTTAGATCTGTGGGAAGGAATTACAAGACAGCTGCTAAAAAAAAAAAAAAAAAAAAAAAAAAAAAAAAAAAAAAAAAAAAAAAAAACCCACAAAAACAAACCAAAAAAACCCCAAACTGATCATGTCATTCCTCTGTATAAATTTCTTCAATCCCAGTTGCCCTACCACTATCCAATGGCTTATAGCCTTATTTATAGCCTTATAAGGACCTTTGCAATCTCACCACTCTCTACCACCCGTACTTCTTTCACCACTCCTCCTTTTTCACTGAATGCAGCCATATTGAAATAATGTTCCTTCTATGAATTATATAGTTGACTCTTAAACTACATGAGTTTGAACTGTGCAGATCACTGATATGCAGATTTTCAAAATAAATATTGTAAATTCATTTTCTCTTATGATTTTCTTAATAATGTTCCCTGTTCTCTAGCTTACTTTACTTAATAATATAGTATATAACACATATACAAAATATGTGTTAAACTGTTTATGTTATTTACAAGGTTTTCAGTCAGCAGTAGGCTATTAATAGTTATGTTTTAGGGGAATCAAAAGTTTATGTGGATTTTTGACCATGCATGGTATCAACACCTCTAACTACCACATTGTTCAATTATTTACTGTATTTTGCTTCCAAAGAAGCTTCCCTGTGCAGTAAAGATTCTGTCAGCTGTCTGTATTGTGTGTATTCAGATCACTTTGTGCTTATGGTATGGTATTGCAGTTGCTTGTTACATCAGTCAGTGCTGGTCAGGAAAACAGACACCATTGCGAGTATTTTAAGTAGGAGATTCAACATAAGAAATGAGTTGCTTACTAATCGATTAGAAGAGATGGAGGAAAGAATATCAAGAAGATCACTACTAGATTTCAGGTTCAATTTCAGGTTTCAGGAATCAAGAAGTTAATGCTTGCTCCCCCTAACCTCATGCACACCTTCTCCAAGGACAGGGAACAGGAAATAACTGTTGAATATGACCACAACTGCCATGAAGGACTGAGGTTGGTCACTCCTGTACAAGTACCTATAGGCTGCTACAAAAATTTTGAGTCTGTTAAAGACGCTGGTGTCTGCCTGCTGCTCCAGATAAAGGGTAGTATGGCTTCTGTTTCTCTTCTGCATTGTAGTTATGGTTCACAATGGCAGAACCTAAGCCTCTAGCAAGGGAACCCAGAAAAAAATAGTTTCTAGTTTTGCAGTCCCTGTAATTCATTGGAAGTTGGCACCATTCCACTCGTTCTTTTATCTGATACTCCATCAAAACTGAGTTCTGTGAGACTAAGGACTTTGCGTTTCCTATTATGTTCCTGTAGGACCCATTCAAATGCCTTGCCCAATGAGTACTGATGTAATAAAAGAATAATTAGGTCTTTACATTTCATAGATATATTAGTGGCATTATTGTTTATAAAATGAAAATTAATTATAATCTAGATTCTGTTATAAGCATATAAAGCTTTTTATGATTTGTTATATTGATATTTTAACGCACTATTATGCACAGACACTGTGCTAAGCCTCTTTACCTGAATGACTTCATATAATCCTTAAAATAGCTCTATGAAATAGATTCTATCATCTCAGTTTTATAGATGGAGAAATGAAGATTTAGAGATTAAGTAGTTTATCCAAGGTCACAAAGTTTCTAAAGGGATAGGCTGTGTTTGAAACCAAAGATGACTTATTCCAAAACCATTCTCCACTACACCATCTTCAGCTCAGATAAGTTGAAAAACTTGGCCTGATGGCATTTTATTGATTTGTGGGATACATTTATGACATTTTGACTTCAAAAGTCCTTCTGAATTCTCACATTGCATCACTTTAAATGGCGTGTCTCTTGCATAACAAAGAGGTTCTCCTAGATATTTTTCTCAGGAAGGACCAAACACACTTGGCAACTGCCCTTTTTGTAATCCAAAGTGATTACAAACCCATTTTAAAAGTTGCATAGTTAAATATGAGATGCCTAGTTAAATTTGAATTTCAGATAAACAACAGATATCTTTTCAGTATAAGTACGCTCCAAATATTTCATGGAGCATTCTTGTACCAAAAAAAAGCATTACTTATTTTAAATTCAAGTTTATTAGCTTCCCTATAATTTTATTTTTAATATCCTGAAACTAAACCTCATAAAAAGCTGCATTTGTTAATGTAACCCATTCCATTTACTAGATATCACAGTTTACATAGCACTTTTATCACCTTTAACTTACTTAATGCATGCAACAAATTTTTGAGAAATAAATTATTTACTCTATAAATATTACTGAGGATGCTGGGTTCAGAACAGTTAAGAAATGTGTCCATAATCATATAGCTCATTAGTGGTGGAGTTGGCATATAAATCTAAATGTTCCTCACTCCTTGTTTTGTTTTCTCTCCTTAACGGTGCTTCAAAAATAAGCTCACGCATCACCTTCTTTTGGAAACATATCCAGACTACTCCCTAGCCAAAGTCAAATTTGTTGCTCTCTCTTTTATGCTGCCATAGATGTTTGCACATGTCATTATGATGAGATGAAGCACACTGCTTCATGATTGTTTATATGTTGTTCTTAGTGCCAGGACTGCACTTCCTTAAAGAGTTTGATAGGCAGAATAATGGCTCCCAAAAGATGTTCACAGTCAAATCCATGCAACTATGAATATCTTACCTTACATGGAAAAATGAACTTTATAGATGTGATTAAGGGTAAGGACCTTAAGATAGAATAATTATTTTAGGTCATCCAGATAGGCCCAATCTAATAATTTACACTGTTAAAATTGGATAATCCTTCATGGCTGTGGTTAGAAAAGGATGCAATAACAATAGTAGATGAAGTGTCAGAGAGATGCAACTTGTTGGCCTTGAAGATGGATGAAGTGGGCCACCAGCTAAGAAATGCAGACTACTTCTAGAAGCTGGAAAAGACAAACACACAGACATTCCCGAGCTACCAGAAGGAAACAACCCTTAGACACCTTGATTTTAACCCAGTAAGACCCATTTCAAAAGTTTCATTTCCATAAGATAATAAATTTGTGTTGTTTAAAGCTAATAAGTTTGTGGAGATTTGTTACAGAAGTAATAAGAAACAAAAAGAGATAGGTACCATATTTTAGTCACTGTTATATTACCTATAAATAGCAAAGTACCAAGTAAGCACTAATAAGTACTCAGAAATTGTTTTCTGCACAAATAAATGGAAATTACAGCACACTGCTTCATGATCAGAGCATTATGAAGAATGAACCACTAAACTAGGGTATTGGGAAGAGAAATTATCTCTATGCATCTTCTTCCCTCAGCTAATGAGAGTAAACTACCTTCTCTACTTCTTGGCCCAAATGAATGAGTTATTAATATGAATATAGAAAAAAATGGAGCAATAAGTAATGACTCCTGAGCAAACTTTTATATCTTAGCTGTGGTTGTGATCCTGAAGAGAGACCTCACCATAGTTTCTGCAATAATAAAAATAACTACCATTTTTTTTTCAATTATTACTAGAATAGTTGTCAAACTTTGTTGTGCATTCAAATGACTTACAAGACCTGTTTAGAATTGCATATTCCTGGGTCTAGCCTTTTGAGATTCTGGTTCAGCAGGTCAGAGATGGAGACTATGTGATTCCATGGACCATACTACACCCATACTGCCCAGCACTATATTGTGCAGAAGATTATATATATATACTAGAGGCCTGGTGCACGGATTCGTGCACCAGTGGAGTCCCTAGGCCTGGCCTGTGAAACCAGGCTGAAACCAGCTCTCCGACATCCCCCGAGGGGTCCCAGATTGTGAGAGGGCACAGGCTAGGCCGAGGGACCCCACTGGTGCAAGATTGGGGCCAGGGAGGGACCACGGGAGGGCTCCAGTGCATGTCTGGCCCGTCTTGCTCAGTCCTGATTGGCTGGAACCCAGCATCAAGCTAACCTACCAGTTGGAGCGTCTGTCCCCTGGTGATCAGTGCATGTCACAGCAACTGGTCGACTGGTCAACTGTCTGCCCCCTGGTGGTCAGTGCACGTCATAGTGAGCGTTTGAGCGGCCTTAGCATATCATTAGCATATTATGCTTTGATTGGTTGAACGGATGACTGGACAACTGGACACTTAGCATATTAGACTTTTATTATATAGGATATACCACTTCCCTCCTTTTAATATTATCTTCTTGTTCCTGCAAATTGCTCTGGGCAGAATTTCTTTGGTCCTGAGAAGCAACTCTGAGACCAATTTCACTCCTAAGTGAGACAGCAAATGTGAGGGGAATCACTCTTAATTTTTTAATGCATTTCCCATTATGAAAGTATCTGGAGGTCAAGGTAATCTAAGATAAAATACATAATTACATTTTAGAAGTTATCTATCTATTAAGTGAACTTGCATCAGGAACATCAAATGTAACAAGAATATCTCAGAGGAGTTTATTGTGGCATCTTGAAACCAGAAAAGTATAAAGAAAGATCTCTCTCTCTCTCATTAGGCTAATAAGAGAACTTCAATCTTTAATAAACTAGTGGAATAAAAAGTAACAGTCATGAAGAAATGTTTCCAATTTTTGTTTTTAAATGGTGACCTTTTTTCTGCTTAAAAGATATTTGAACACTGATAAAGCTGCAAACAAGAAAATGGCAATTTCCTAAATTTCACTGCCTCAAGATAAGCTATGGCTAAAATTATGATTTATTGCCTTGAATGCCTTGACTATGCATATGTTTGCTAGCTATTTTGGATCAAGCAATATATGCAATTTAATATCAAGCCTTTTTAAAACTTAACATTGTAGGATATATCTGCTCCCCTATGGCCAACTTATAGTAATGAGATTGTTTTTGTTAAGTTATTTCACTTTAAGAGAACTGAGAGGTTTAGAAATCCTCAGAAGAGTCCAAAAAATAACTGCATGATCAAAGGATATACTATCCTTGAAGAGAAGCAATTATGTCTTCCTTGGAGTGTCAGAGGCATTGAGTCACCTGCAGCTGCAGGCTGCTAATCATATTAGACAGAAGTTAATTTTGAGGTAACTTGCTCT